AGAGAGAGAGAGAGAGAGAGAGAGAGAGAGAGAGAGAGAGAGAGAGATGAAATAGTGTTATCGATGTTAATTATATACGAAGCATGTTAGCAAATTTGGTTTTTTTGTTGATAGGCAAAAATGTAAAATATGCATAACAATAGTCAAATCGTTCGATCGGATACGACAAACTCATCAAAAACAGATTTGGCAACACATTTTTTTAAAAAATAAGCATACATGATACATCACAATATGTCTATTTAATGGGTTTTCTTCGATGCTCTTTATGATTCAGGCCAAAAGAAAGTGACAATGCCGGACCTTTTTTTCGTTTCTCACACACACACACACACACACACACATGCATACGCATACACACTCATTTAATGAAAATATGTGTGTTAAACTTGATTTCGACCTAAATTCCAACTTTTTGACAGTCCGATTCGTATGTGTACGCAATAATAGATCACACCGATTGTGAATGGCATATAAAATGCTTAAATTCAAATTGAATTTATCATATCAAAGTCTTGGATAGCAAAATAAAATTGAAATACATTGAACGATGACTGATGAAAAATTTCGAATTCACTGTTGTTGATAAATGAGCTCACGGAAATGTACAATCTTAATTCAAAATGCACAAAAAAATCTTGTTTTATGTTTGGTGCTAACCCGGATGCATAGTCAAGAACAAAAATGTCTATAGTTTTATTCACCTCAGTGATGTGGTTCATAAATTCTGGAAATTGTCTTTTATGGGATGAAGATGAACAAGTCTACCTCGTAGCACGTGGCCTTCAAACATTCAATCACATCGTCGTTTCACTTTTAGTTAGAGTATCTGTAAAACCACTGTTATTAATGTCAGTAGTTAACGTTCGTATTCACATTTGTGGTCTGAATGGTATGAAGAACACTTGTTGCTCATCGTATTAAGCGCACTGAAGGTCATTTGCAAAACAAAGTGTAACCATTATTCATCGTATGCATTCATACACCAAAGTGAAACGAGTTCCGTTCCGTTTGTATGTGTTTCAAGTATTTTCTATTGAAATTAAATGTTGTCACTCAATGAAATCGGATGAGACGAACAAAGCGAAAAAGAAACATCCACAGAAAAAGAAGAAAAAAATTCACACAATTTGACACATTTCCAAAAAAATGCGTACAATTGCAAAGTACAATTGCGTTATTTGCTCATCGCGAAGTTTTTTTTTCATTGCTGGACTCGAAGCCACAAAATACACACTCTTATTTGTTAAGTCTATGTGTCGCCCCTTTATGTGTTAAATGTCTTAGCGTGGATAGAGATAGCCATATACACGATCTAGTTTAGAATTTTTCATTGTTTTAGGTCACAAGTTCTTTATGTGTACACAAAATTTGCCCATCATTTATTTGAATGACATTTTAATTTCGTTCACTTTTTTTGCCCATGTCAAATTCAAAATTATTCTCATCAATTTCATTTGAAACCATTTTTTTATTTTTATTTTTTTCAAATTCGCACTTGATTTTCCCAATCCATGTTAGAAATGCGGCATCGCAAATTGTTAGCATTACCGAGAGAGACAGGTGGGTAAAAATTCCAAAAATTAATTTTTGAATCGACAACGAGTGTCGATCTTTTTAGGATAAATTAATCGGATTTTCATTGGATACAAAACAAATTTCCCAATTTTAATTATATTTTTCTTTCACCTCTCGCTCTATTAGAGGCTCTTAGCACTTTTCGGTTCAGAAACGGTTAATTTAATTGTAACTATAAATTAATTCGGACAAAAATGACCAATTCCATTTGTTAAAAAAATGCTAATATGGATTCCTGTTTGGTCATATCCACGAAATGGGATTGAATTTAAGAATTTCATTTAGATTTTTGGCTGGTTATCGGATTTATCGCAGGTGTTTGTGGCATATTTTTTGGTTAACTATTACCTTTTTTAACTCAAAAGATGAAACATAATGAGGTTCAATGGCACAATAATGTGGTTATAATTATTATTGGTGATGGAATCATTCGACTTTTCTTCTCTTCGAAAATATGGGTTTGGTTGCACAAAAATATGTATTTTAATTAAGTGACATTGTATAACATTTTTTGAGTTATATTTGAAAAAAATAACTTGCAATTTTTCGCTATAAAATGTAAAAAATTTCATTAAAAAACAAAGGTGTTGGTTTTTTAACATCAATCATAATCCAACCAATTCATTGATTAATAACAAGAAAATATTTCAATTGAATGTGTGTAAACAGAAATCTATTGTATCATGGACGAAATAATATGCAAGCATGGGGTCTGATCGTGCTATTGATATCGAAGGCAGCCGGCCAAGCACCTGGAATTCCGGAGACGGAACATGACAAAAGTGCTGGCGTCTTACATTCCCAACGTGCGCTTGCCGAAGTTTGTGAGATGATCCGTATATCACATTTGGTGCATCAAGGTTTGGTAAATTTGCAGCCACTTACGCAAGCCGGACAAGATTTATCGTTGCACAGTGATATGACATTTGGAAATAAAATCGCCTTATTGAGTGGTGACTACCTATTGGGAAATTCTTGTGCTGAACTGGCTGGTTTAAGGTATTCAAATGAAATCATAGAAATTTTGTTTATTTATCAAAATTAATTGTTCTCTCCTTTCGAATTAAAGAAATCAAGATTTGGTTGAGTTGATTTCATCAGCGGTACGTGACTTAACTGAAGCTGAATTCATTGGCGATCGAGACGAACAGAATAATCCGTTACCATCGGCACCACCAAAAACACCGCGACGCATCACAACCGATGTTCATGATGATTATGACCTTCATTTGGCCGACGATGTACTGAAGCCAATGGAAAAAGAACGTTTCATGGGTGCTCCGGACACAGAATGGGCACTACGAAATATTCTTAGTGCAGGCAGTTTATTGGGTAAAAGTTGTCAAGGTGCATTAAAATTGGCCGGCCTATCCGAATCGACACAGAAACTTGGTTTTCATTTTGGTAAACATTTGGTATTGTCATGGCAAGCATGTTTGGATTTGGAACCATTTTTGCAACCAACATTACCTGATGGCACAACATTTAGTTTGGTATCGGCGCCGGTTTTGTATCATCTTGAATACAATCCAAATGCATATGAATTGATCAAGAAGGGCTATGTGTCGGTGGAAAATGTCGATTTTAAAACGTTGCACAGCGAAATTGTAAAGGGACCAGGCGTTGATAAAACTCAAAATCTACAACGTCAACATAGTCAAGCGGCCATGAATGTGCTGAAGAAATTTCCACCATCAGACGCTCGAACAGCTCTCGAAAATATTTTGCATGCCATGCAAGATCTGCAAAGATGAGAGATAATCAAAAATATGGGTACAGCACATAATGCAGATAGAAAAATGTATTGAAAAAAAAAACCAAAAAATTATTGATATATTATAAATATTTTATATTTAAAAAATACTATTGTATCAAAGAACGAAACTATTGATTTATATTTCTTTGAATTGTCTTCAAGCTCATTCTTTGACCTGACTTTTCATCGATTTCATTACATATTTCTGTAATTGTCATTTGCACTAACTTTCTCTTAGAATTTATTCAATCCAAATTCGAGCAAAAAAAAAATTTTTTGAACGAGCAAAAAAGAGACTGTTTTTCTATTTTTGAAAATCAACACATAGTGGAAAAAGAAACCTTATAATGTTGAACAAATGTTGAAAAGCCTTCAATGTGGCACGGTTGAACGGTTTAGAATGGTGTGTTTTGACTTGTTAGTTTATGCGCAGATTTTTTGACGTTTCTATCTATAAATGTGTGATGTTATGCATATACATTACACACAGATGTTGGCATTGTACAGACAGAAACTGCAGTATTCAATGTGATTCGTTTGCACAAAGTTGATTTTATTATTTTCTTTAATCTTTCACCAATTTCATTGTTTTTTCTTTGTTTTTAAGTTCGTTTAGAGAATTTGTTATTTGAAATGAAATCAAAATAACAAGAAAAACTCAAACAACAAATCGCATTAACACACTCTTCTACTCCTTTTTTTCAATTACCCATCTGTGCTATCAAATCAAATACAAACAATTTTACAAAATCAAAAAAAGAAAAAAAAAGAAAACCAAAACACTTATCTATATTCCAAAAACGGACCAAGCAAAACATATCATTTTTTGTAAGTCGATAACCTCGAAACGAGGGGGAGATTATTTTTTTTAAAAAAATTAAATTTAAACGAAATCAGGAGGAATTTATTTGCCAAACAACGAAAATCCACAAACATTATACAAAGTGAAAAAAAAAAATCAGCACCAACCATCCGAAGCATTGACAGTGTGTGTCATTCAAAGAGTTGGAAACAGAACACCACGAACTAATAAATTTATATCGTGAGTACTAAGCAACGAGCAATGATGATATCGTTCGTGAATGACATTGATTTATTAGTCATTAGTCATTCATTTTGTTTGTTTTCACTGTGATGGTTCTTTGTTTCAAAAACGCTTTTTTTTCTACTTTCTTCTGCACATAGCAAAATATGGCTGAAACTATAGAAAAAAGCACAACGATGGAACATGAAGAAAAAGAAGAAGAGAAGACCACCGATATACCCGTTGACATAATCAAATTGCAACAAGAATTTTATGAAATGTTTGGCCATAAAGCGAGCGTCATTTATGATTGTTACACGGAAAAAGTGGAGCTTGAAGTAAAAATCGATTTACTAATGCCGGAAATGAATAAAGCAAAGAAAATGCAATTGGTCGATTTGATATGGTCACAAAAGAAATACATGGGCGATAAACATCTGTTTATGTCACCAATTTTCGTATGTTGCATCTATGACCATAATATCAAAGACCATTTAACTTATCCATTAAACATTCAATCGAAACGATTTTCCATACATCCCGTATTTCGGGTGCAAAAATGCCTGGGCACGGCCACCGATGAAAATGGCCAAACCAAATGTTGTGCCATTTTCATTGATGAATTTGGTCGTGCATATGTGAATTGGAAAGATTTTCGCGAAAAAAATAAATACGAAGATGGTCTTGTGATTGCGCCACGTACTGGCATCTATAATGGTTCGTCATCAAACGATCAAGTTTTATTAGATATTTTCGTACGAAAATCGGGTCTAACAAAAAATTTGGACACTGGATCGACTGTTGTTGGTTAGTTATATACATATGGACAATATTATACATTAAAAAAGCGATCAATATTGCATGAACAATTTTGATTAGTTCACGCCTGGTTTCATTTCAGCGAATGGTTTCACTTCAATTATCACCGTTTTTTTATTCATCGCTTTTGTTTTTGTATACAATATTGTGAAATGAATAATTATTATATTGTGTGCCTCTTTGCATGATATAGGTTTGGCATCGGCAGGCGTTGCTGCTGCAACGTTCATTCCATCTTTGGCTGTGGCACCGGTTGTTGTGGGTGCTGCTGCATTGGCTGGAATTTCATGCGCTGTATACACTGGGATTCGTAGTGCCTACGATTTATATGATAGAAAATATCATAAGCAAAGTATTGCATTAAAGGATAGAGAGGCGCGTGCCTCTTGGTTCAATATCGCGGCTGGCACACTGTCTGCCTCTGCGGCTGGTGCAACAAAACTAATGACACAGGTGAATTCTATAAAATTGCTTTTTGTGTGGAAAAAACAAGTCAAGTTAAAATACGCATTTTTTCTTCTTTGATTGATTCAGGCTGCCTCAAGTGGACAAAATATATCACATTTAACACGAAATACGGTTCGTTTTATGAATTTGGGTGCATTAAGTTTGCATACAACTGGCTGCTTGGATGGATTTCATACGATGTTGTATAATTTTTACAATGGCGAACCGGTATCCAAAGTGCACTTAGCCCAATTGAGTGCATCGCTATTTTTGTTAACGCATTCGATTAGCAATTTTCAAGCGGCCGAACAGCTAATACGTTCCAGCGATTCAAATAATCCCGATTCGATGAAAGATATTTTACGTGAACGGCAAAAAACATCATTCAATCATTTGGTCAACGAAACGATACTAATTCGTGGATTGCGCACCGACGTCGGACAAATCATAATACGATCAATCAAAAGTTTGGGAAACTGCAAAGAACTATTGGATTACATTGAATCCAATAAGAAAATGTTAACCGAAGATGTGAAAGAGAAAGAAAAGATTGAAGAGACTAGTGAAGAACTGAAAGAAAAAGAAGCAGCCGCGGCACAAACTCCATCACAAGAAGAGGTGGATTTAAAGAATGAAGCTACTTTCAATAGTGCAACACCATCCGTTGCCAGAGAATACTGTGAAGTGTTCGATATTCGCTTGAAGTCGATTGTCAGCAAATTGACGAACCAAGTGAATAATCGCGGTGAATCTTCATTACAATTGATTTTACTGCTGCTTTTGAATCAAATGACATTTAAAACGTACAACAAATTTTTGAATTTCGTACAAGAGTTGATGGTACGGATAAGTTGTTCACTGGAAAAACAAATGCAAACACAAGTAAATTTTGAAACCTACTTAAAACTAGCGTATGCTCAATTCGTTGAACGTTCAGAGAAAGAAAAATTTTTGGATTTAAATAATTACATTTTAAGTTTGGACGATGATAAAATGCATTTTATCGATTTTCAAATTCGTGAATATTTAAAAGAGCAAACCGCTGAATCAATAGAAAATTTAGAAATAAGCTTTGACGCTGCACACATATATCAAGCCGATTTAAGCGATAATCGCAAAGTATTTTTGATGATTGAAGAGCGGGTCGAAGAGTTTGGAAGTAAATTTAAAATGTGCTGTGCCACAGCCAATGTAAACGAATTACATGAAACAATTGAGGAGATTTTAAAACGGTTATCGTACGAATCGGCAGCGATATTCTTTGCATTGGCTAAAAAATTGTTGAACGATCATGCCGTTACAATTCAATTATCACTGGGACGTTTTATATCTGTAGACATTTTTATCACCGACATCTATTGCTTGCTCACCAAAATTAGTGCCGACGATGATTGTGACACATTGAATGAATATCTTTTTCAGTATACAGACGATTTATATGATAAAATCGAAACCCAATTCAAGAACAGTTATGTACTTGAACATGAAAGTTCCTTAAAAAAGACACAATGCTCTGTCTGTGCTGGTGAAGCATTCGTCTAAACAAAAAAACTTCCAAAGTTTAACAAAACATCAAAATCCAACAACAGTCATATCAAAAGTAGCCACAAAAGAAAATATTATATTATATTTAAGCTTAACCATAGATTTGGTGTAGTCATTTAGAATGAAAAAATGGCAACGCTTAATATTGCAAAGTTATTCAAAGCACAAAAAATATTTCTATTTTTGAATTAAACCTACCAAGAAAAGAAGAAAAACAACATGAAATTTATTAGAAGATCAAATCTATTATATATTTTTGTGATCACCTTATTACAAGAAGAAAGAAACACTGTTATACACTTAGAAAAAAAAATGACGTTAAAATATTATAATATAATAAAATATATGTTTCATGGCATGTAGACATAAATATTTTCGGTAATTTATTTTGTTTTTTTAGTTTGAAGGCTTGGATTTTCATAAACTGAATAAAGTAAATAGTTTACATTTTGGCAGCAATTGGCTGTGTGCTGAATTTGAAATTCGATACAGTTTCTTAACAGGTACATTTATGGTAAATAAATCCTTTGGTGGTAAATCTTTGGTATTGTTTTATTTTCAATGCAATATTGGAATCGATTCTGTATTTTAGTCAACATCGACGCTCACATCAAAATCATCGTCGTCGGCAGTCGTTCCATGATTTTCATCCTCATCATCGTCGTCGTCGTCGTCTTCATCGTCATCATCATCATTCGAACTAATATTTACACTATTTACACTGTTACTTCGACTGCTGTTTGTTTCATTGAAACCATTTGCGGACGATACAACCGTCATATTATCACTCTCACACTCTCCATCGACACATTTCTGTTGATGATGACCTTCATTGGTTGTGTCGTCTTCCGTAACATTGTGCTTTATATTCATGTGGCGCAACAAATCCCGACGTCGAACCAATATTTTACTACACACATGACATTTGTATAGCGATTTTTCTTGAACATGCAATCGAATGTGTTTGTTCAAATTGCTTGGGTCACCGAATGGCCGCAGGCAATATTTACATTTGAGCGGTTTAAATCCCGTGTGTGTTCTTATATGAATTTTAAGGCCATATTTACGTGAATACAATTTACCGCAATAAATGCATATATGTCCTTGTTTTGATGTTCCCATATTGCTGACGATTGTCTCTAATTGGGCTGCAGCGGCGGCAACAACTTTTTCACCTTGTGATGCCATCGTATTCGTACTGGACGATGGAATTGATGAACGACTCACTTGCGAATGTGGATGCGAATGCTGATGATGATGATGGCTATGATGATGATAGGCGTGTGCTGAATGTGATGCGATAAATGGTTGAATTTGTGGCGGCGATATGGACATAGGAACTGGTTGAAAGGCAGACAATTGATGTAGATTTTGTAATGTAAACGCTTGAAATGATGGATTCAGTGAACTACTGCTACTTGATTGACTAACTATTGGCGGGTAATGTGGACTCGACGAAGGCACAAATGGTATACTCGGACGCAATCGATCCGCATCATGCGATAGAAATTTCGTTGTATTTTCAACATTCTGAATTGGAGCCGATTGACGGAATGGACTTATTGGCTGCGATAATGTGTACGATTTTAATGGCAATATGCTATTTAGTCGAGACCATAAATCATCCATGGTGTATCGATTACATTTTGTGGCCAAGTGCATTTTTAATGGATTTGGATTTTCGTACGTTTTTTGACATTCGATGCATTTGTAACAATTCTTTCCTAAAATTGAAAGGAAAACCGAAATTTTTTTTGAGTTAGTTTATATAAATATTGGTGCTACGATTGAATTCAAATCTTTGATCATTTTGCATTTCTCGAGTTTGAATGAATTTTCAGTATTATTCGAATTTATCGAAAATTTATAAAAAAATGTAATTTCTTCGAAAGTGTCAAACAATCAAGAAAGTCAAGAATATTGTAAAGCCTTTTAAAAAGAAGGAGAAATGTCTAAAAAAAGCTCACCTAAAATATTGGCAGGTGTTAGAAAAAATGGTACCGCCAAAATGCCAAGTATTTCATCGGAAAACCACAATTGAACTTCTTCGTCGATCACTAAATTCTTCACGATTCGGACGCGCAATCTATGATCACTGGTGATTTCCAATTGCGCGTTATGACTGTATGTATCATCGGCCAAACTTAAGCTTCGCAACCATACGCTCTCCGAGTAATGTTGATCATTAGTAATATATCCGGATGAATCAATACTGATAAAACTTTTACATTTCGCATCTCGTTCGCCATTTAAATCGATGCAATCGAACGATCTTGATTTCGAATCTTTTGGAATTGCTTCAATTGCGTATGATCCACGATTTGGTTTTGGTTCAATTTTAATACGTTTGCTATCGCGACTTTTAAGCTCTGTTGTCATCGATTCGATCGAATGATTTGTAAGGCAATCACTTGTTGTGGTCGAAATGTATTTTCGTCGTAAGAAATCCTCCGTCCAAATGTTCCAAAATGGAAACGCATTCGAATAACTGGCATTGCTTGGATTCAATGCCATTTTTTCCAATGATGTTGATGGTGTTCCATTCAACATGTGCGCCGGGATAATTGGAAACATTTCAAACTCCGCAAAAAAAGACGTCAAAGAAAAATGAACACACAAAACACTGATCACAAAATGCGCTTTTTAATTTCAACAACGGTTGTTTTTTTTTTGTTGTTGTTTTTGCGTTTTTTTTCGGTTAAAATCAAAAAATCAAAAATATAATTGCGTGCACACGACGAAGAGCTCGTATCCGGAGGATGTCCGTTCGAGTTAGAATGCAATTAGAATCTGATCGTGGTTGTGATTTGGTTCGTGGTTTATATACTGCAGCAGAGTCAATTCGATCAGGTTTTAATGAAATCTCGACAACAAGTTGCAACCCTCTGTTGTATGCATTTGACAAAAAGCCGAAATCGGAGAGGTGCGGTTGGGTACGGTGGCAGTACATGCCATGTAAAATTGAATGGTGAAAAATGAGACGGAAAACAATTTGGTGTGGTGTATGTATGGTAACGCGGGGAAGCCCATCTCAATAGCATTAAGAGTAACAATAGTGCAAATGTGATGACAAGTGTGTGCTGAACCTTGCATCTCTCTCCTCTCTCTCTCTCTCTCTCGCTCTCCGTATTCAATGACTACATCAGAGCATCGAGCACATTACACGCACTACGTACGCGCTCAATGATGACTGTGTTGTTCAGCTCTGGCGCTAAGCTAAAACATATTTTTTCTGGTTTTTAATAAACATTCATTAAACAATGGTGTATAGTCGAAACGAGATTCGATGAAATCAAATGGGCAAAAATTAGACAACAAATTCAAGCACACTATAAAGGCAAGTTGCATTTTCAATGTAAAAAAAGGGTCGTTTGTGTTCATATATTGGTTTGATTTGGGTTATATCGCTTTAAACATCGTCATCACCATATTAAATGTGATTAGTAATGCAGCTGTATTCGACCTCAAATCGTTCCATCCCTCCCTATCGCTTCCAACATCATCGCGGAATATTTTACGCATACACATTTCTATTTATAATTCCTTTAACATCGCACTTTTTACTGGCCTTCTCTCTCTCTCTCTCTCTCTCTCTATCAATCTCTTTTGCAAATCTATGACGCTGTGTTACATGAAATCAAGCGGTGCATTTTTGGCGGTGTATCGAATTTATATTATTTGTTGTGTTTGCCGAAAACCACGTCTATCAAATATTGCATTCAGATTATTCGTATGGAAATTACATTAAACCGAGAAAAAAAAACTAGAATAATAATCATCTTGATGACCCTTTTTCCAATGCTAATGCAATCCAAGTTTATTCAGTACGCTCAGCTGATTTCGAATTGATTGAAAAACTCTGTTATCAGATGTACATTCATTCTCTCGAAATGTTCCAAATGTTTTCGTCCTGATTATTAATGCACTGTTTTGACTTTTGTGTGTTTGTGCATGCAGCGATAACAATCTCTAGCACAAAATTGACTAGCAGAAAGTATCATAAGTCTTATCAGATGGATTTTCATTAAATTTCATTCACTTGCCATCATCATCGTGCTTCAAACAATAGTGTGAAAATGATGTACGTTTTTCTTATCTGTAATTAGGCCATTTGATCAAAATGCACATTTGTGTGGTACGATGAAGAAAATGTTGCAACGTCTGTAGACCATATTGGTCGTAACAATGCAAATGAATCAACATCTCAATCGGATTTTAAATCAATAAACTTCATTTGGGTTGCATCTAGCAGCTGCAATGGCCATGACTACGACAAACGAATCGAAATATATCCTTTGTGATAAGGATCTTTATGGCAATAATGAAGAAATTATTCAATTCATGTAAACAATGACGTTAATGCTTTCCTGTATATTTTTTCCGATCAAATTTTTTTCGTTGTTGCAAAATGAAACGAAGATATTATTTGATCAGGTTGTTTGCGTGATTTGGACATGGTTGTATACAAGTGTTAAACGAATCGAATGCATGTGGTGCAGTCAACGGCCATACATGATATCGCATGATATTCATCAATAATATAAAATTCAATATGTTAGCTGTTCCCTATTTGATGCACAAAAGGGCTTTTAACCACTTGAAAATAAAGCCATTTCGAGAAAATGATATCCAAATTTTCAATCAAACAAACGAAGAAGAAAAAATCCACGCATACACCCTACGCAAATATTGCAATTCAATATTTTTTTTTTCACTCCACACCATTCGCTCGGCCTTAAATTCGAGTGATCAACGATACTTCAAGTTGCACCGTACTACAATTGTGGCCCAGAGTGGTTTTTTTCTTCATCGATTTCACTTTTCCGAAATCCACGTGTTCCGATTCGCACCATAACATATCAAATGAAGCGAATTGTGTGCATGCACCATATATAGCGCCATTTCGATGATTTATATTTTATTCAGTTTTTATTTGAAATTGTACGTTTGCCCATCATTTTTAATGTTTTTTTTTTTATTTTCATTATAAACATTTTTGCTCGACGATAACCAAGGATTAAAGTGCGAGCAAGAGAAAAATGCGGGTTCGATTTGCAATAATGATGTCAATGATTTTAGAAATATGATCCATTGTGTACTTTTTATTTTTTTATTTTGTTGTTACAGCCATCGTTTATATGTGGCGATGACAATCTGAAAAATGATTGAGATAGCCCTCAAAATATGGCAAAATTTGAACAATAGACGATTAATTGATGACAGCAAAAACCTTGATTAACGTGTTTTCGTTTCTTGTTTTATTTATGTATTTGTATCGAATAAACCACATTACGTACTCAGAACAATAAGCGAAAAATGATTGTGAAAATAATAATTTCATTTTCGTTGATAGTTTACACTTGTTGAAAACAAAAGAAGCGAAGAACTGTGGCACACGCACCACACAAAAGTCATTTTTAGTGATGGATCAACGCCTTGAATTATTCGATAATCCAACAACAAGAACAACGACGATGACGATGGATTTCAATTGATTTTATTGCTGGCACACGCCAACAATTAAAAGCATATTGACTCACTTATTTTGCGTGGCGAGACAAGAGCTGCTGCTGTTGTTGTTTTTTTGTGCAAGTGTTACTTAATAACATTTTGCCCATCGTTGGTATTAGGTACTTTAAACCGAGCTGCTCTCGATTTAACTCAGTCATATGTAATACATCAAAATCATATGCAAGGAACTACACGCGCACACACAAACATACACAATCAGTGCACGCACACACACACACACATACACACAAATTTACCCCAGTTTATTTTGCACCATACAAAAACCGGCGCTAGCGAAACAATTTAAAAATGAAGCGCAAATCGATTAAGCATTAAACACAAGTATTAGAGGGTAATTTTTTTCTGTTTCGCTTTGCTATTCTTATGGCTCGACTGACACAAAAACAAGAAAACAATTAAATTGTTCTATTGTGCGGTGGAAACAAATTTAATACTAGTACGCGAAGGATAGAGAAAGGGAAAAAGGACAAGATGAGATGCAAGATAGAGAGAGAGGGAGAGAGGGAGCGATGTGGTGTACGCATTGCAAATACACATACGGTGTTAGGATGCGGATGCATAGATGCGCACCCCTCGATTACAGAGTGTTTTCATTAAGCCAATCGGCAAACCAACCGGAGAAAGAGAGATAGTTTACATGCAATACATGGGCTTGTATGTACTTACAGTTCTGCAATTTTTTTTTCATGCGCGCTAATCGTAGATGTATTAACTTACGACATACATTGTATTTTAATATGGATCTTTATTGAATTTAAAGGGGATATAATCTAATATAGTTGTTGTTTTTTCTTCCTCGTTGCTCGTCATTCCCGGTTTTTTTTTATTTTCAAAATTATGTTGGTTCCACTTTAAAGCCGCTTGGTTTTTTTCTATTCTGAATCAATCAAACTGTTTTTTATGGCATTGAATTGCAAATAGTTGCACGTCTTTTGTCGATATTTTCACTTTATTTAGTTTCGGATTTTTCGTTTCGAATCATTTATTATATCGCAACTTTATAAAGAATCATCATTATTTTGGATTTGAATAAAAGAAATCTTCTCGGCTTTCATCATTCTTAAGGGTTTTCCATTGTATAAATGTTGTCTTACATTTCAATGCTGATGCACATAGCGCGCCGAAATCAACACAACTGGATATTTAATCAACCATCAAAATGGATATATAAATTTATTCGTCACACATCGAACAAATCGCAATCCATTTTACTTTCCGACATACATGCAAATTCATAAATATGCATACATTTTGGAAGCCGGTGCTTCATAACTATTCTCTCTATTGTATTGAATGTGTTATAAATGTAGTTTTTTTTTCATTTGCCGATTATAAACGCATTTAAAATTAATCATAATGCCAATCATTTGGGTAGCTATTATTTTGTGTGGCATACCGTGCCGTACAGCGTACAGTTGAGTTTATGATGCTGGATGTGCTGCTTGATCCTCCGTAACCAAACAACTCATAATATGCGTGGCAACACCTGTTTTTGTTCACAATTTTTACTTAGCCACCCCACGAAAATACAACAATCAACCAACCAAGCAACCAACCAATGAAACGGTCTCAAAGACTCAAACTTATTCGCTAGCTATAGCTCACTCGTTCAGCCTCCGTCCATTTGATGACGATGACGACAAATCGTTTTGCCCCTTTGCAACATACATTGTTTTGATGGTCTGAAGATAATTTCTATGATTGAATTAGTGGTACTTAGGACAGCATACATTTATGGATACGCATTCTATTCGGCAACAACAATAACAATGAACCGAAGAATAACAAATATACAGTGTTGATGCACGTGGTTTTATACTCGCTGTAGATGAACTAAAATGATATCCCTATTGTTTGACGACTCTCTTTGCTCCGTTTTTGAGTTTCATTTTCATATTTTTATAGTGTATATTGAAAGGCGCATTGTTAGTCGCATGCATTCAACAATATCAACCGGCTTTTTATATTATTGAAATTGCCTGCATTAAATCCACCACCGAAACTAAACGCAATTTATTACCATTGTGACCGCAAATTTACCACAGGCATTTTTGAAAATCTTTAAATATAAAACCACACTTGCTACAATATTTTAATTTAAATTTGCAATTAAACACACCGGAAGAAAGAACCCAAAAGACCTACTCCCCGGACTTGAAATGCAAATAAATCTACAGTTACGTTTTCAGTTGTGCCGAAGTAGTTGATGTTTTCTTGATAGTATAATAACATTTTTTTTTACTTTTCAATTGATCTCCTTGATTACAATTCATTGATTAAAAAATGTCTTGTTTCCGAGGGGCCTTTTTGATAGATAAAATTTGGAAGAAATATGATTTTCACATTAGATAGAATAAACAATTCCATGCAAGAACGATCGGGATCTTGTTCATGATTCTCAATTTATGTTAAACCCGTATTTTCGCTTTTGAATTAAGTTTCTGATGCGAATCTTATTAGTTTACAAAATAAATGTCCACGCTATTTTGTGAGTTCATCTCCAGGTCGTTTTGTAATTATTTCATCGTCGTTTTAATTTGTAAACCAAACTAAGTCACGATTAAATCAACATTAGGACTCAAGTTCAATTCACCATCCACAAAAATCACTGAAAAAACACACTTGTTTATACAAGATGTACATTTGGATAATTTTGGTTGGAACATAGTTTATAAAAATAGATTTCTCTTTTAATTCACCCCAAAAATAAACAAAGCACATAAAAAAACATAATGCACCATTGTTTTGCAATGCTTAGAAAATGAGCGAGAGACAGAGAACGAATAGTAAGGCAAAAATGCTGCAAAATGTAGCGGTCGCCATTTATGTGAGCAAGTGTTAGAAAGTGCGTTTGTACGCATCGTAAAGGAGTGACTACTCTCTCTCTCTCTCTGATGTTCTCTGCAAATTATTAAGTAAATAGAACCGAAAAACACAAGCAAATGATGAATGTGTGCCTGAATTAGTATGCCTCTATGACGAAACAACAACGGCATTATAAAAAAAAACTCAAATGCAGTGATGCATTCAAGCTCGATTCGATACACAAATAATACAATAGCGTATATATGAACGATTGAGTTTCGATTAAAAATCGTTTGACGCTTATTCCTAATGTACAGCCAAAAACCGTAACAAAACCGGCGTACAAATTTCAAAAAGCCGAACAAGTGTACATCGAAAGTGTCGAAATAGAAAAGAACGAAAGGAACTATTCAAATCATAAAGCCGATTTAAAAATTGTAGCCGAATTGAAAATGTCCTGCGTTTGAAAGAATTTATTCGAATGCATAAGGGAACGCATTTATTGTTCTTTTTTCGTCCTCTCTCGCTTCCATTCCATCAACTCACTCAACTGCGGCCCCGCTAAATGATATGAATGAGATTTAAATTGTTATTTAAAAGGACGAATTTATTGAGTTACAAAAAACTATCGGTACCGACCGTTTTACAAGCAATGAGGGATTTAAAAAAAAAACATACATTTTCGAGTTTTCAGAGGACATTTCGATTCAGATTTTATAAAAATGGTTTTAAAAGAAATCGAAATGACACTTTTTCGAAATGGTATTAAATCGAACGAGATAATCCCGATGATAATGCAAACGAAAGTGGTTCAAGTATCCGTCGTGGCAAGTAAAATTATTGCTGAATGAAAGGCTTTTAGTAATATTTATTTTGGCTATTATCAACCATCGAAAATTCATGGAATTAAAAATGATGGACAAGTGTGTGCAGCTGCGATAATACCCAAAAAATTTCCGACGATTAAAAACCACTCGAAAATTATTCATCAACACTGCATTTAGACATTTAGGATTTAAGCTGATCTTTTCATTCATTCAAAATGTCAACTAATATTTGTTTTATTTGGACATACGGATTTTAATTTAAAAAAATAACAAAAAATGTGCACCATACACATAATTAGAACCAATTGTTTTGAAAAATTCAACCATGATAAAATTATGATTACTCCGACCTTTTTTATACCGAGATTGACTCGTTTCATTTAAATTATTGCAAATAATGTGATAGTCACTAATTCAATGACACTGAATAAGCGCTCCATAAATATATCTTTTAAATAGTAGGGGATGGAAACCATTTGCTAATTTTTTATAATCCATTTAAAAACTAGAAAAATTTGCAAAAATTAGTTGATTCGCCATTCATTCAATAACCAAATCAATTTTACAACTCGACTATTGAAAGAAACCAGCATTTTATGCACAATTTTGTATTAAAAAAGTGAAATTAAATTAATATTTCTATCATTATAAATGAAAAATTGTGTCCGTAAGAATAAATATGGCAATACAAAAACGGAATCTGAAGAACGTTACATAATTTTTTTACATAGTACAACTCCATACAAAAAAAAATTATGTAACGTTCTTCAGATTCCGTTTTTGTATTGCCATAATTATTCTTACGGACACAATTATTCAATCCACATCTCAATAAGTCAAAAGACAAAACGCCAGTTACGTACAGTTGGTAGAAATGTCAATAGAAAACTAGCGCTTTAATAAAGGAATATTCGCAATTACTAGATTTTTCAAGCAATAAATTAGTAAATTAGCTATATACTAGAAAATAAGCATTGGTTTCTCTTCCCTAGGTTAAATATTAGTCATATCCGCGAATATTCATACGAATTCTACATCGAAAAATTTGAATATTTTCGTTATGGAAGATGGCAAAACATTTCTGGGAAAAAATCTTAAAACCATACTCTGATTAATAAAATCTGATATAATAAATTTCCATTCCGATACATTGCTATGATTATAATCAGCGAATAAAAATAGATGCCAACTTATTGAATTAATAAACGTGTCACCAAGTCGCCGTATATTCATTGATGAACATAAATTTTACAAAAAAATAGGCAAGAGATGGAACGAAAATCGAGTCTTGTTGAAGAATGGTGGGGACATTATTGCAAAACTCCATAGTTTTTAAGTTTTTCATATTTGATTAAAATAGTATATAAGTTTTTGACACAAACTTAGTTGGAAATCAACTTTTTCAATTGCCAATTGGACAACGGAGGCAAACATTAAAATCATATTGCTTATCGATATAAATATTCAAAGTCGTCTAGTGTAATTAAACTACTTGTTTTTCGAATATTTGCATTTTTTTGTTGGATTGATCAGTAGTCGGCGTTAGAAATTGATATAGGCAACATTTAAAGTGCGATCAATTCATGACGATGGTACGTTCATGAATTAATTAAAATCAACTAAAAAACGTTCCAAGTGGAAAACAATAGTTTTTGAATAGTTTGCCATTTTTTAGCACCATGGACTTATAATTAAAGTTCCCTAATTTTATTCTATAAAATGGAATTCGGACAATTTACTCACTTTTGTTGAATTAACGTTCATAATAAATGGTGACATATTTAAATTGTCAAATGATAAAAGGAAAAAAATACTTTTCTTTTAGTTTAGTGAAACAAATAATAAAAATATTTATTCAAAATATCTTTACAATTGTAGAATAATGCAAAAACTTTCTTTCTGGTGTTATTTGTGGGTACAATTTATTGCCGATACATCGATCCACTATATTTCAGCATTGGGTATGTATTAATTTATTCAACGTTTATTCACATCAGACACTGTGCTTCATTCAATGTCCACACACTTTTTCTGAGTTCGAATTGATTATGTGTGACATTTTTTTTAAATGTATAAATCGATTTACTGCAAAAATATACCAAAATCTTGTTATTCAAATATCGATATTGATTGCATATATGCTTTCAACACTCTTTGCAGCGACCTTCATTTAGACGATGTCACAGATGTTTCTCAGCATTTGGATGCCAAGTTTTTGGTGAAACGTGCCACTGATGCGATTATGGAACGAGATAATGATGCCAAAGAAACGAAATACGAATTTTCGTAAGTATATGTAGATAAAAAGAAAATTGCGCTTGATAGAGGTGTTGCACTTCTGGATATAATTTAAATGTATCATACACACAAAAAAATATACAATGAAAACTAGATGACATGCCATTTAAAATTCGGAACTAGTTGGCAATCCGTCTAAAATTGCATTTTTCCATCTAATTTTCATGCAAAATATCGTTTTGTACAGTTATTTTTCGTTTATGTCTTGAGGAAAATCCGCACAAAAGAGAATAAACAAAAACGATATTTTGTATGAAGATGGACAAATGCAATTTTAGACGGATTGTCAACTAGTTCCGAATTTTAGATAGCATGTCATCTAGTTTTCATTGCATATTTGTGTGTGTGTATGTCAACGGCCAATTTGTTGAACTATGCTTGTAAGATTAATTGTAAAAAAATTGGTAGAACAGTTAGTTAAACGTGTTTTTCTTTCTCGTTTTCTTTTTCATCAATTTTAAGTTATAAAACGGATTCGCATGAACATTATGCAAAAGGAATGGTGATAAATGGTGAACACTCGGTGGTTGGTGCATATTCAGTAATGCACCCTGATGGCACGATGCAAACTACGATGTATACAGCCGATAAAAATGGTTATACGGTTCGTTTGAAATTAAAAAAAGAGCTGTTGCACAAAAGTCTTGTTGGATGATAAATCCATTTGAATACCAATTTGAATATTATAAGTTAATAACGAAATGAGTAAATTATTCCAAATAAAAATTCCATCCAAAGTTGATTAAAAAAAAAATCTTTTTCTAAAATAATAAAATTTCCAATTTTATTTGGAATCCCACCTTTGCGTAAATGCATGTAATATAGTTGAGCATATATGCGAATGAATAAGTGTAAATATGGGAATTACTTTAAGTATTTTCATTTTCATATAAAAAAAAAGATGTTTGTTATTATCATCATCGTTCGTATTGTTGTGTAGGTCGTGCAAGTTGCTTACATTCAAGTAATAAAAGAGCAAATGGAAAGAATGCTAAGAGTGAGCCCAATGATTACATACAGAATTTAAGTAAATAAAATATACCGGTTATATCAGAGCTTTGGGATTTCATGGTGTTTACAAGCCGTACGCACTTGGTGAATCAATTCTCCGGTATTATTTTTGTTCATCTTTTCCTTGCGATATTGTTTCATACATGCATGTATGGTAAAATCCACAGCCAAACCAATACTATTGCATGCCATGCACGGATTGAATAAAAACATGTTACGTTAAATAATATAATCATACAATTGCGCCGCAATTCAATGTGGGGGAAAAACCAAAGTCAAATCTTGCTAATCGATTGAATGATAAGTTTTGCATTTGTTCTAAAAGTGTCGAGCTGTTAAAAAAAAACTCGTCAAATCAATCTAAATAAATATCACCGCCTCACATCGGTCAAAATCAAAAGATTTCGAACTTGGGTCACGGCTGGTACAGTGTGCATAAAATATGAATAAAAATTCGTGTATAAAGAACGGTTTTACTGTTGGTGTTGCAATCGCAATCACATTGTTATCAAATTGTGTGGTTTGCCATGAAACAAGTGCAAATGTCAATCGAATGTGGCGAATGACGGACCACGGTCCATTGGTACAATTGCAACGATATCAAAAACCATCATCATCATACACTGAAATAAATACAGATCAAAGAAACACATTCAAAGATCGATTTAACAACGATAAAATCGTCTTTGACCATGGTGATTTGTACGATAAAATGGATAACGAAAGAACCACCGTTTCATCACCGATAATTAACAATAATCCACCAAATAATAATGAAACATACCATCAATATTCGGACAAAGGAAACGGTGAATATGTATTCAGGTGAGAGAAAGAGAGAGAAAATAATGTATTTTCAACAATAAACATATTTGTTTGCACTTAGTTTGACCATTTGCAGTGGCATACGGCATATCGAACGAGGCGATTTTGAGGAACGAGATGGGCATAAAATATTCGTGGTTCGTGGATTTTTCGAGCATATTAACAAGGATGTAGGTGTCTTTTTTTGTGCCGAAATGTGGCTATTTTTATCTAGATTTTTATTTTCACGTTCAATTTTTGAATACTAATAATTAATTAAAATTTCAATAGGGAATCGTAAAATTGAACGCATATGTGTTTGACCATACGGGCTATCATGATATCCCAGTCGTGACTGATAATGGAGGTGTACTTGATTTAAAGGGGCCAGATGACGATGATTGTGACAATTCAAGAGGTGTCTATTGTATCGATCAAAAACTTTTAAATTTATTGGTCGGTTAATTTATTTAGGAAAAAATGCTCCATTTTGCGAAACATTGAAATAAATCGACAATATTTATTTTTTTTTATTCGTGTGCATTAAAATCTATCAGTTAAATATAGTAGGTTTTTTTTCACTTTTGAGCCAAGTGGCCCTTTTCCAAGAAATTAATGGCACGAAAACCAAATTAATGTCTTATAAACAATAATTAATTTTCGGTACCAACAGACGAAGCTATCTAGGGATATTTAGAGCTTCTATACAGTATCTAAACAGCTAAGTACACTTCAGAGGAAAAAAGATAGTAAAATTACTTAATTAAGTTTCAAAATAAAGATTGCTCTTATGAAACGCTTTTATTTATCGTTTTTTATACTTTCACATTTGATTTGAATCTGTCTAAGCAAATAATACTTTCGAAAATTTTAATAAATTATATTATCTATTTTAATAAATTAAATTGTTTTCGTCTTATGACAAAACTGCAGTACGTTCCCTTTCAAGAATAACAATTGAGTCTAATAAAGTGCTACTATTCTACCACCCGACTTGATGGATGGTAAATGACATCAGGAGCTGGTGGTTGTACATTTGATGGCATTGTGGCACCAACAAGTGATGGCGGAGGTGGGAAGCTAAGTACTGTTGCATGGTATCCCTTGCTGTCGGCGGTACTAATGAATAAAAGTAGTAAAACGATTTTTCGTTAAAATGATCGTTATATCGGCACACAAGTCAATTTTTATAATATAAAAGATACACATACTATTCGGTTTTATATTCAAAACCATTTGGCCCCACATGTGAGAATGAGCCCTTGACTACTTTTTCTACTTTTCCATCTCGATAGACATTCTCTGCGTATTCATAACGTGACCGATCCGGTGATTGGTAACTGTAATTTTATGCGCAATTCTTAAAAATATTCTTTTGAATTTAACTTATTTTCAAAAGACTCACCTAAAACTGTACAGTTTTCCTGGTGTCAGAGAATATGTTGGATTGGCGCTAGCAAAAGCAATACAAGTAGCAGCGAACGCTATGATAAATTTTATCATGATTTTTGATAAAGAAATGTTTTATTTTGGTAAAATAGAATGTTTGCTCTTTCACAGCAAATGGAACACAAGTGATACCAAATCTATCGATTAGTGTCTCTATTTATACTAAAAATTTCTCGCGAAACAAAACGAAACACCGTGAATAATAGAAATTATGCTATTCTATCAGATAGGAAAAAAACGCAAAGAATCATAATTTCTCTTTTAAACTGTCATATGTCACAAAAATCAATTCAAAGACATTAATTCTCGCAACATTCCACAATGATAAAAGCAGATCCAAACACTTCTGTTACATATCTACTGTCGACGAACTCGAAGTGAGCCTTGATTCTTTAGTTCGGCGAAAAATGTCTATGGTTCGAAATAAGCCCAAGGGGAAGAAACGGTTTTTTGTTACCAAATTTTTTCTAATCAATATTTATGGACTCTTCTATCTTTTAATAAACTGAATATGGAAATGAGGAGATTGTATCCAGCTAATTGAAGAAATAAAAGAGAATCAATGCTTTCAATATCGTTTGAATCACATTCGCATAGTATTCATACGGAGTAGATAATATGATAGATTTGAAAATTGTATCTTTTTGTAAGAATATAAAAAACGCAATAAAATTTTGTGGTTTTTTTTAAATTTCGGTAAAATTTTCGCCTCCGATAAAAACCTCAACCACAGAATTTTTGCATTTTAATACTATTCGTTTGATACACGTGACATCATTAATGAATGAAATATTGCTTCCGTTGCTTTATAGTACAATTCTTGAATAAATACATTTTTAGCTTTATGATAACAATGAAGTATCGCGTCAATTTATTGTATAAATATGTAAATTCTAAATACAAAGAGTCACATTATTCACATTAGAGTTTGCAAAAATTGTTGTGATTATTGATAGGCACTGTCAATACAATACTCTCTATCGAAATAGCTTAATTTAATTGTAAGATAAACTCACAAAATTAGAAACAAATATTTAAGTCATCCATCTTTACAATTTGTTGGAACCGATGATACTAAACCAGATTGCAAACTTCAATCGATGTTAAAAAAAAACGTCTCCAATATCATACAACTTAATCGCCGGAAAATTAAACGACTGGAATTTAAAAACAATCGAAAACACTGGCATCTAGTAACCCACAGTGATTTGAAAATGCCTCATATTTGTCTAATATTTTCGACTCCTATTTTAAAAAACGAATTAAGAATATTTCTTCTAAATTTCATATAGATTAATTAATTCACAAAATGTTATTTAGTAAAAAGACATTTGTTCATGTTTCAATTATTTTATTTTTGCTTTCATCAAAGTCATTTATGTACAATTATTTGGTTCACCATGAAAATTTAAGCAACTGGAGCAACGGGAAGATGAGCACCCTGTCGAAAAAGACAACAGCAATGAATCAATATCTCTTGAATAGTTTAACAAAAAAATAAAGAGATCGATATACTTACTTCTGGTCTAAATCCATTTTCGTCGGCCACTTTTTGAAAAAAAAAATAATAAAAGTTAAAAAAGATTTGTAAAAAATCTAATCTTACACAGAATTACCGTATCGCACTGTATATAGCACTCCATCAGGTCCAGTATAGCTATATTGTCCTTGCACGGCCAAAGCTGGGCTTTGTTCAAGTGATCGACCTTGAATCAATCGACCAGATTCGGATGAAGAAATTCCATTGCTAGTTGATGATCTGTAATATGTTACCAAACAAAAAAACAAACGTTTTTTTTACTTGTTATCGTCTTTCTTTCATATGCAAATTTGGCGTTAGAACTCCAATGTTTGTGGTTCTTCAACACACAGTGGGCTTGTCGAAATCAGTCGTGAAACCATACTCACGCGTATGCATAGGTGCCGTATTCCGGTGAAATGTTTGAAAATTGGCTCACAATATACGCTTGTGATTCTTGTGATTGGGGCAGCAATGCAGCGGCTGTTACAGCAAATAGCGTAGCAAAAACAACGACGAATTTCATTTTGAAGAGTTTTTAGTTTTAAAATTGATTAATCCACGAAGGAAACTCAACTACTGGTATCTAGAGCAACTATTGACTTCGATTTTATACAAATTCTGTGTCCGAATTTTTTTCCATCTCTTCTTCGAAATTAAAATTCCTTTCAGCTGATACAGTTTTATTACAATTAATAGGCCATGTTAACAAATGACATTTTAAGGTATGCGCTAAAACATTCACTTTACACGAAAAATATTCACATATACTATATAGATAATTACCGGATTGGACCGGCTTTTCATTTTATTGGATCATTAATTGGATTATTTGTGAGTGAATTCAATACAAATGCAAATGGTGCAACATTTTTCAATGAAATTGTGTGTGTTTCGATTGAGATCAAAATACGTGCGGATAAAATTTAACATTTTCGCTTGGTTACACGGTAGTTTCTTTATTTAATTTAATATGTAAATTTGCATACTTATTAATGGTCACTTTTAAGTTTTATACACAATTAGTATCACCTCGAAATTATCTTTTGAACATCTTGAACTGCAAAATGTGTGAAGGTGTCAACACAATCAATAGATAATCTATGAATCCAATGATTTTATGGCCGAAAACCCTGCTGGAGTAGACACAAAAAAATCATTTCCACGAGCTAAATCTTCGGATTTTCAATAAAAAAGTGCCGCCTGATACTTTGGCAAAAAAAAAACAATATTTCTCTAACAGAGCGTCTGTGCTGTATCGCCGTATGCGGATATTTTTGTGCTGCATATTTAACTAATTTGGGACGTTTTTGGCTAAAACCAACTGAGATTGAAGTTGTTTTAAGTTGCTTTGGCTGATTTTTCAGTAGAGAAAAATATAACTTAATTCAACTTCAATCGCAGTTGACTATAGACAAAAACGTCCCAAATTAGTCAAATCTGTTTAAAATGAGATACCTAGACGACTAAAGTCGACTGGGTAGACGACTTCAGTTAATAAAATTCAATTTCAGTCGATTTCAGGATAACCAGTTAGTTAGTAAAATTTTCAGCTAACCAATCAGTCAGTCAGTCACTGCTTTTTCCACACGGGCAAAGATGAGTCGTTGATAGATTTTTATTTTGCGCTTCATTTTGACAACCAACTCCTTCGGAAGTGTAATGGTTAAATAGTGAATAATGAATTCATGGCACAATGAATCAAGATAACTTTTTTCGAAATTTATACATTTTCAAGTCGAATGAGAAAATGAGTCCACTCATGTTCTTTTCATTTGAAAATATTAAAACCAAAATGCTATGTTAAAGGAATAAATTATTTACATACCATTTTTACACACTCTGAAGAATTAAAAAAATAATAAAATAAAATGTAAAAAGTAAAACAACACCAATAAATCGTTTTTTCAGTGATCTTTATTCTGTAGGAGCTAATCATGTATGCTAAAAATGAACGGATAGATGGATAATAAATGGAAATGGACACAAAAAGATGATGAACGACACAATATATATGTCCTCATCATGGGTTCGAGGTGTCTCCGATTACTCCTCAAGAATCTCTCAAAGATTTCTTTTAAATTGCTAGTGTTTTTGATTGGAAAAGTGAAGACCTTTTTTAGCTCATCAAGTTTTGTAAATGGGAGAAATTCTTTCGATTTGCTTGGAATTCTCTCCGAGAAGAGTGATCTCCAAAAACAGAAAAACGTAAATTTTACACTAAATAGAATTGGCTTTTTTGCTTACCTCTCTTGATATTTTTCCATGAAAAAATTGTGATCACTGTTTGTGAAATGAGGACAGACAGAAAATTTAAGATCACTCCAGATTTCAAAATATTTAAATGATTTTATTATAAAAATTTAATTTACGAAGATGCGCAAAAATGTGAATGATTTTTTGACATATTTGCCATTTGGCCGCAAATGTAGAGTTTTATTTTAGTATTTTAGATGTGTAAATTCGAGATTAATACGACCAATAATATCCGATTTTGTTTAAAGACATTATTTTTGATAATAATATGGATTTGGTCCGGCGACTGTTTGAATTTTTTTTAAATTCACTTAAGATCAATCAATATCAATTTTAAGTTAATTCTGAAACTTAAGGTAACCCTGTTTTATTATATATTAACTGTTTGTTCCCGTACGTATTAGCGTCTTTCAGAGTATATTTATATCCATTTCTGTTTTTTAACTGAAAAAAAAAGAAAAATTCAATTCAAAACGGAAAACCAAAAACGCTGATCGTATTTTTTTTAAAATAAAATAATGTTTATTGATCGGCTAGATATACAATATGCATAAATTTTGTTATTATACAATCTAAATAATGAATTTATCACATACTTAATAATTATTTAGAGAAAAAAAAATAGATCGTTTACTACATTTAAAATACATTAAAATACATTGTTCCTGTTATTTAACCAAAATTGGTCTTTGTCGTTCATTTCGAGCACAGTATTTTCATTCGTCATTTTGTTCGATTTGCAATTGTTTTGCCTGCTTGAATTAAATAATATTCAACTCTGTTAAATATAGTAGAATAAGTATTTATCATTCATTCGGTTCATTCAAATTCTTTGAGAAAATAAGCTCTAAGCTCAGATATTCTAAGGCCAACGCTAGTTCTCTGCTTGGTTCATTACATTTAAAATTAAATTGTTATAAAAACAAATGTTTGTTCGTGTTGATTGCACAAATATAAACTCAAAATCAATTCAATGTTTTGGGGTATACGTGAAAAAAAAATTCAGTGAATTATTGAGTGATTTGGTGGGTGAAAACATATTTTTTTGTCAAAATTTATTTATTTTTTTTTAGTATATAATATAAGGCAGAAAATTTTGCACTTTGATTGGTGTACGAGATAGTATATGTGTGGCATTCGATTTTTTGGACGGGAATTTACGACTTTATTATTTCGCAGTTTTTTTTTTTTTTTGATAATTTGTAATTCCGCTTTTCAAATTTTGCCATTGATTAAGTTGTTTTGATTATGTCTTTATTTTTTACAAAAAAAATTTCTACACTCACAGGCCACAAGTTTTTTCTTTGTTTATTTTTTTTTTCAATTATTTGAACTATAATTCATTCTGTATGCATTTTCGCTACTTTCATGCTCTTAGGTCTAGCTAATTTAATTTTCATTAGAATAGATATAATAATGATGCAGTTGGGACACAGAGATATAGTTGCAAACGTTTAAAAAATGACATTTCATTTAAATAGATTTATTTGTTTCGCGTGGCCAGCATTCGTGATTTTGAGTATAAAACGGAAATATAATAACTTCTCAGTGAGATACATGGGTCTCCGAATGCTGACTGAAACGATTTAATGACTTTGTGCTTAAACGATGATTTTTTGCTCTAGATATTTTTCTTATAATTAGGATATATGTATAAATTTTCTTACTTGTTATAGAACAATATAATTTCTATTCATTCGTACACATTTATTATTTTTCGGAGTTTTTAGGTTTGTTTTAAAAAAAAACATGTGATTTTACAATTTGTTTTTAATTTTTTGGTTGCACCAAGATCAAAAAAAATGGAATGAAAAGTATGTGTGTATTGTGAATGAAACAAATACAAAAATTCCATTTTTATTTCAAATTTAATTCGATATACTATTTTGATCATTCTCATTTTCTATTTCTCATTTCAATCGATACGATTCTTCTTGTCGGTCGGAGAAAATCCATCATTGAACATTTCGATAACATCGACTTTGTTCATTTCCCGTTTGGCGAGAGAGACTGTTTTTATTTTTCCAGCCAGTTTATCTACTTCTAAGCAGATTGAAGTTTCTCAGGTCTAAACAACATAATAACATTATTTATCACAAAGCGTTCGAGATTGCGTTACTAAACACGTAAGGCGCAACTCAATAGATTTGGACCATACTCGATTTTTCTATAATACGTTACCACCTAGCCAAGGCAAAATATTTATTTAAATAAAAAAAATATATTTAAATTAAAGGAAAAAATAATATATTTCACAATTTTGAAGTTTTTTTATGAATTTCTCTACGGAAGTTTGAAAAGTGTTACCCAAGTATGTTTGGAAAGTGATTGAATTTTACAAAATCAAATTTGTCATCAATTCATTGTGGTTTTTTTCAATTTTTCGTAAATACTTATAAATAGTTTGCCTTGTCCTGGTTATTACAATTAAAAAATGTAAATATCGCTTGTTTTATTAAGCTCTTCGTATTGCTCTTCTAAGCTCATTGAATCATTCATTTTTTTAATTTGTCGCTGAATATTGAGTAACAAGTCATGTTTTATTTGCATAAATCACTCACATTTTTAAACAATTGTTTATAGTGGACATATTCTATGACTGAGTTTGTTCGTTTTTCTGTACCTAAATGGAAATATAGTAAGTTGTTGTTTTGATTTCAGATGGAATTTCCATTTTGTATAATATTATATCAGATTTCGTAATGGTTTTCTTGCATGATATGTGTGCAATGTGCAGCAACGAAACAACCACAAATGATTATTTGAATTGAACACCATTCGATTTGACTGTTTTTCGTCCACCTGCCCAAAATAGGAATATATGCAATTTTGGGATTTATGGCACGACACATGGATGTAGATTTTGTTGTTTGATTTTTTGTTTTTCGTTTTAAATGTGTAAATGATTTTTATAAACTGGTATAATGATGTGAATTTTGGTTAATCGACTTAAATCAGTGGGTGCTTTCTGTGACACATGTTCACCAAGTCATTTCTTTCATTTTGTCTATCCCCTAGAAATCGGATGATATGTTTTCTAATATGTGTATAAAATGCATTAAATACAAAATACAATCTATAAATTATAACAGAGGAACAAAGAGAAAATTCCCACTATAAAAAGCACAGTCGATCATTTTAATTTAAAACAGAACAATTTCCCTATTTACAAATACAACTGATATCAATTTCTCTACAGATAGGTTTTCTTAACCTTTTGCAGTGTTCCGGTATTTGTCGAATTCACAATAACCGCTTGTGGTGTTGTCGTTTGATTATTACAATTTGTGTTATTATTAGCATTCACTTTTAAATCATTGATGTCCAAATGTTCGGTGGAATTTTTGCATTCATGACTTCGGTCCTTCGTTTCGAATTCTAATTCAAGAATATCTTTTTTGTCAAGATTATTTGGCGTCTGACAGCCAGTATTTGTGAGTGTTGAACGGCCATTTACATTATTTGGTCCACCGGCTGCAATGTATGGGCCCATGACATTCATCAGTAGATTAACGTCTTTGCAACTCGCATTTCGACCACCGCCGGTCGATTTATCGTAAAAATTCAATTGATTTCGATGATGTTCGCTCAAATGATGATGGCTACTGCCACTTCCACCGCTACCACCACGCAAAATATCGAATGCCGATTGTGTGAATTCGAATCGTTTCGATACAATAAAACCAAATGCAAAAGCAATGGCGAATACAATGAAAACGACCGTAGCAAATAATGGACTGGCAAAACGCATTTGATTTGAATTGCTCGAATGAACAGCATCAAAGTTTCGTGATTCAACAACACCCGTTTCACTGCTGTCATCATTGTCAAATCCATTGTCGGCGCTAAATTCATCGAAATGTGAACCGATTTGATTCTCTGGTTGAACTTCGTTTTCTCGTTCGTCGGGCAATTTGTTGCTATCATTTGTTGTGGATGGTCCACGGAATACGGATGAAACAGTTCCACGCGTTGACACAACACTTGGCTGAGCAACCGGTTTTTCGCTACCAGTTACAAGATTTGTTTGAACATTTCCGGTTGTTGACAGGCTTCGTCCTTTCTCCTTTGGAACCGGTGCATCAATACGGTTTTCATTGTCATCGCCGCACATTTCAGTGGTTTCTTTACGTGATTGTCGAATATTTTGAATAAAATTCTTGCGATTATGCGATGACACCGACTTGATTGATGTGCATTCATGATTTTTTGTATCCCACACACAATACGGATCGCGTAAGTTCAGACATTCTTTGCATGAAACTTTGTGCGAACAATGATGCATCGGAATAGACACAATCATACCAGTACCAACAACAACCAACGATTGTTGCTCCTTTGCAACGGTCATTTGTTTAACCGGCAAACTACGGGAGAATGCCTGTGTTTCACTCACAACAATCGTTTCCAATGTTGATTCGGATTCTTGTTGCTGTTGTTCGCCCGAACCATTTTGATTGGCTTTGCTATCGTTTGACGCCGAGCGCAAAAAGTGAATCGTTTTAATCACATGCCCGTTGTCGGTTCCAATGAATAGAACATCGTATTTATCACCATTGAGAGCTTCAACTTGTGCATCGGTTGTAATGGCGGTGAATCGATTCTTTGCAGCAACTCTAGTCAGTACGGGTCGCCCATATAACGCTGGCACTGATGATTCCATCAAAGTGTGCATTTTTACAAAGTTGACCGTTCGCATCGGTAGCTCACGACTGTCATCAACGCATTTACCGGGACGTGGATCTGGTACCTCTGACGCTGGTATTGATAACCAATTCGATGTTGCATCTTTTTGCCCTTTGAAATTACCTGCATTAAAGTTAGAAGAAGAGTTAGGATTTTTTGTCGAATGATCAGAACTTAATCGATAGTTTTTACCTTCGAATGTATCGATTATGTCGTCAATTTGAAAGGCACAAACGGCAGAGCCTGGAATTGCATTTTGGGGCGTTGTAAATACGGCATAAATCAATGAATTTGGTTTTAAAGCAGACGATTTGCCAGAGTCTTCGGCCCTTGAATGAGTGTGATAGTTGCGGATTTGTTGCTTTTGATTCAATGCGGCTTGATATAATCCATCAATAATGCCAGTTGTTCCCTCTGTTTCAACAGAAATGAAAATTGATTTAATTCAAAAAATCATATTTTCAAAGTAAAACGCCAATATACACTTACGAAGTTCATCGAAATAAAATGGAAAATCTCCTGGTGTGGAGCAGTTAAGTCGTGTTTTCAAGTATGATGTCCAACGTTCACGGAATGGTGATGGACCACCACGATCATTCTTACAAACGCGTGCCACTCTTGAATAAATTGTTTTTCCACAATTTTCCAATGCCAATTCACGGAAAAAGAAAAATACATATCCATTGCGTTCAAGTGTGCTAACAAATGACGGTTGACTCAGTTGCTTTGCATTGAATTGTTCGGTGCGTTGTGTTTCGCGATAAATCAACGCATCACCGCCCGAAAAATCGGCAGCTGTTGCTGAGTATAGTTGACCATCTGAAAAGGAATTCATTTTTATTAAATTAATTAATGTCCTGCAACCTTTAAGTTTGGAAAAATATGCTAGATAAAACTATTTTCATACCTGTAAAAATGTACGAGCTATTATGTGTTGGATTATACGGGCATCGTCCTTGTCCATCGATCTCTTCGATCATTTCAAATGTTTCGCCCGATGAATTTTTAGTCAATGATGCTGTCTCAGTTTCAGTGGATGAGCTAGCTGGCGCTACGGCATTTTCACTGGTCGTCGATACCTCAACTTCGGCCGATTCATCTTCATGTGATGCAGTCGAAATCATTGAACCGCCACCACCAATTTTATATCGTCGACACAATGGCTTATATGAATTGGTACCACACACCATTATCTTGTGATCATCAATTCGAGCAAACACACGAATATAGTTCTGACAATCCGAGTCTTGTTTTCCTTTCAATGTGCACAATTCACGATGGGCTGGCGTTGATTCCCATTCCAACCGTTGCGATTGGTTTTCCAGTAAATTCTTTAAACTTACATTGTACATTGCATTTCTATTGCAAACAAGAGAAAATTCAGCAAAAATATCGATTGTTAGCTTGATTTCATTAAAAATAATTGTAATTGACTTACCGTGCTCCGATCAGAACCGAATTATCGTCTTGTTCCAAAATTTGAAAGTAGTCGGATTGATTGCCGAAAAATACTGGCCATTTTTGTTCTGAAATATTAAAGAATTTTGGGAGAATAAAAACCACATTAAAAAAACAGATAGACATTTTGATTTATATAAATTTTTGAAAAAGTCATTTGCTTTGAAAACGAATTCAATTTAAACGCAACAAAATTCGGTATATATTTTTATTCGAATTCATTTTTGAAGTTGGAATTTATGATTCATTGATTTATGAATGGCGGGGTCGTTAAAATTTCGTGAATCATAAATTTCTGATGATTTATAATGTGTTTAGAATGTGTTCTATAATTAACGAACGAAAAGCGAACAAGCGAAATTGGGGAGAATATACGACCACTTACCATATTTAATTTTAAGTGTTGGTTGAATATCTTGTGTCCATGCTTGAGCGTTGCTGCTATGTTCGACGATAAACATGCTCAGGATCACCAACACTGTACACCATGCGTACACTGCCATTTGTTTTACACTTGGAAGATATTCCATTTTTGTTATTCTAATATTAAAATTCGTTTATTCTAAATAATAAAAAATAATTTTGTATCTATATATGGTCTATGTGTTTTTATTGCTTGTTCGTGCAATACGTTCACTTTATTCGTTTTTCGATTTCTTCTTCTGATTGTTTATTTCACTTCAAGGCACTTCGTTTTTAGTCAATTTGATGATTTTTTCATGTTTATGTCATTCATCAAGTCAGTTGATTCCTTGTGTTAAACCAGATCATTGTACATTGTAAAAGTCTTCCTTTCGCTGATTTATTCTGCAAATATAAAGATAAATACAAACAAATTAGTTTATTTACTCAAAGTAGTAATTTGAACTTAGGTAATAATACGAGTATGTACTAAATCGATAAAATACAATTTTATAGTTGATTTCAAACTGTCGATAAACAGTACTGCAATCGTATAAAATGTTAAGAGAGAAGAATTTAAAAAAATAAAACAGTTGAACGGGTGTATCACGTTTTTATGATTTTGACTTCACTCAAGCACACATTCCAAGTGAGTGAGATGCCATTCATCTACTGTTTGAAAATACCCGTAAAACATTAAATTTCAAAGTTTACACTGTACAGAACCATGCCGGATATGATTTTGCTTCTTTTCATCCGAAAATACTGCAGTTGTCCATGGTTTAATTGTTATTGTTGTCAATATTTTCGTATCTATTCAAGTTCTCACATAAAACAAAATGGAAAATTGTTGTTAAAAACACATTGACATTGGGGGAATTACCCCCAATGCAAATCATTCTGTCGAATGGACAAGGAGCTGTATTATTTTCGCACTAAAATGTGATCGGTGTTTATGACTAGCTACGGATAATTGTATGCAACGGTCACTACCAATGTGTTTCCTGTTGTGCCTGGGAATTTTTCTTTTGCTTGTTTCGTTTCATCCTCTTCTATTGCATGCTGCCATGAGTTGATCATTGAAACAAATATCCATATCATAAAATCATGTGTTTCTATGGCTTTATTATGAAAGTATGAGATGTTTATTAAGAGGCGACAGACTGAAAGCATTAGAAAATCTACAGTGTATGAAAAACATATAGATTGCATCTCCCGGAGCGATCGAATCCAAAGAATGCACCTACGCCATTCAAAGGCATACAAAACGAAAAAAACCCATATCATAAAAATTTCGTTCCAGACAATATGTGCGTATCCGAATGTACGCAAACAGGTATTTCTCATGTAAATATTTTTTTTTTTCTTCAAATAACCATTTGTTTTTGTCACACATATTTATATTTGTGTGTTTGTGTGTGTGTGTTTTTTTTTTGCTTTTCCTTGTCTCAAACGCTTTGCATATTCAGCGAATCAAGTAATCGTATATGACATCGCATTAAATCATTCATGCGAACGCATTATAATAAAATCACCGTTCATACATTTATTCGAGCAAACACGCATAATTTATAATCGTTTGTATATGGGCGAATTATATTTCGATTATGAAAATGGATAGCCTCGCGCATTTGCGATCGTGTTTTACTCTTTCGCTCTCTCTCTCTCTCTCTCTCTCTCTCTCTCTCTCTCTCTCCCAAATCTATATTCACATATGTTTATGGTAAAAATATGCAAAATCGGGAGATTGAGTAACGCTTTCGCTCTAGATCCAATACACGTACATTCACAAATAAATGAATAAACCAATGAAACCGTGCCATATTTTAATGACAATGAATTTCAAAATACGCCAAACAAAATAAATGGCAAAAGGGTTTCAGGTTTCATTGTCAGCACTAATTTCAGCAATTACCATTTTGGTGTCGTTTTAAATTACCGAAAAGTAACAACCATTTAAAGCCACAAGAATGACGGATTTCGTGTGTAATTCAATGAAGGTAAGCATTATTTTTGTCGTTACAAGTGGCATGTCAATTTTAACAAAACCATTTGTGCATGCATATCGGTTTTGCCAAATGAAAATAAACATCATAAATAGATGCAAATTCGGTGAATGAAAATCTATTTTGACGACCGATGTAAACGTCAACATTTGAAAGAAAAAAAATGTCTTGAATTTACTATGTCAAATGCCAATAAAAATATGGAAATGACCAAGGCATAGCAGCATAATATCAAATTATGCGAATACTTAATTGAATGGCTTGCATGTTGATGTTGCTTACCTCTATTGTTTACGTTTTCTGCATGTTCGTTTGTATTCAAAAGTGAAACGGAAGCAATTTATACGAAGTTTTTCGATAAAAAAAAATATCGATTTTCAAATGAGTCACCATATTTATGCAGTTTTTACCATACGCAACCTATTTTATATGAATGAAACTCGTTCATCATTCTGATAGATATAATTTCACGTCAGCGATAAAAACTTCGAACTTTTCACCATATAAAGAGCGTCTCTTTTCGAATGTGAATGGTTTTTTCTTCACCTCTGGGGATTTCCTCTCGGAATTACTTGCTCATCGCATTCAGTCGGCATTCGGGCTTTTTTTATAATAATTGATGGACTTCAACACCGTACAAAAAGCTATTGATAAACCGAGCAATTAGCTAATAAACGCCACACTTAATGCAATTTTACCGTGCAAGCGTGTCAGCATGCCTTGGTCAAACATTCATTTCTTGCGGCGATTTTCAAAAAAAAAAAAAAAACACTGAACAGGAAATAGAAAATAGACATCTATCTGTGTGTATATGCGCGCCTATACACAATACCGGTAAGTAAAATGTGATAAATGGTACTGGAACATAATTCAAAAGTTGCGATGATAAACTTATTGCGATGCATCATTATCATCGGCGATATTGTCAGATTATTAAGACGGTGGAAAAAAAAGAACGGAGGAGAATTTTATCGTCGGAACAACGGTAAATCAAATGCTTGAACATGTGCATCTAATGCACATCAATTGGACAATACCAGTCATATGGTTGGAATAGCACATGTGTTTACAGCACTAATGAATGTCTCACGTAATGAAGCGTACACATCGTTCTTGTTTGTTTGTACTATGGAACCGTAACTGATCGTTCCATTAAATAATTTCGCCTGTATGCGTCAATTATTTTCAACACTGCTGGCGAGTGTGGTGTTTCAATTATTTTGCAAAATAATTTGTTCATTCAAAGACACAGAACGAGAGTGAGATAGAGAAGTGGGCAGGCATGGAATGCAGGCCAATCTCACAATAAATGTGCCCCATTCCTTGATTGCATTGCGCGAGCGCATTCTCCCAACATTTTCGCAAAATGGGATCAGAGCATTCAAAGTTCATTGTTAAGCTTATAATTCACAGCTTGGAATATGTGACACACACGGCGCGCGCACTGATCTTGAGTGCACATTTTTTTTATCTTACTTTATTAGGCTGATGGTTATCTGATCTAATCGACAGAAACCCGACACAATTTTTTTCGGTGTTGAGGCAGCACGAGAGACTTTTTTCAATTATTCGATTAACTCGAATAGAAAAAGTCGAACAACCATTCCATCGTCAATTGTATGTATATACCATGCCAAATAATTACCATGCGGCACAGAAGCCAATCGAACATTTTAATTGAACTGGAAGAGAGTGCTATTAGAGTTTAGATACGTTTTGGTACCATTTTGTTATGTATTCAGTTTATGTGGGTAACATTCGAGCGAAAGAAGAAGAAGAAAAAACACCATATACGAGAATGACGACGGTAAATGGCGGCGGTTTTTTTCTCTTTCTACCTTAAAATTATAATCGAACAATAAACTCAATTAGATAAATTCAAGTTAAGTAACTTTCCGAAGAGAAAGAGAAGAAAAAACGCGATAGAAAAAAAGATGAAATAATCCGACGACTAGAGTGACACACACATGCAGGACCGAAAGTTAAAATAAAAAGTGGCCACAGCCATCGTTCTTTCTTTCTATTTTTCTCGTGTGCTAACGAGAAAGGAAACAAAATCGATTTTGACATGGAATAAAAAGAACAAAACATACCGAAACCATAAAAACAAAAGAAATAACATAAGAGAAAAAAGATCAAAACAACCCTACACGGAACACACCGATGATGATGATGAACACCAAAAAAAACCATTTCCGAAACGAACAAAATTTTCGAAAGAAACACGAATCTTGAAAAGAAAACATTAAAAAAAAACAACCGAAAAATTACATAGTTAACAATTTATAGTCGATTCAAATGGGAAAGAGAAGAAGAAAAAAAAAACGTGGCGGAAAAACGAAATAAGTTTCGAATGCGTTAAATCATCGACTCTTACATAAGCCAAAGAGGCGACAAATAAAAAAGAACACGAAAAAGAGTCAAAAATAAGCAGTTAAAATAATGGTAATTGTATCGATAGTGGACCGAAAGGAGCAAAACACTGAATGGGAACAATAAATGTTGAATCTTTTTTTTTGCTCATCTTTCTTGGTTCGCTTCGACTGACAAGAAAAAAATTAAGTCACGAATTAAATAATAATGACAGCATCGAACATATATAGATTGTTTCTTCTCTGTGTTTTTTTTTCATTCAAACTCATATATTCATTTATCGGAATATTATCGTGCTTCTTTTTTTCAGTGCTACTACGATCAATGGCCGACGAATGAGCCACATCGAATATGAACTGAATGAAACGCATTGAGATCACGCGGCCCTGTGTCATTCAAACAACAAAAAGAACAACAATATTATTTCAAGTATGAGAGAGTAAACCACAGAATGCATACGTTAAATGCTCAAGTATTTTTCACTTTGTTCGCTCCTTTTTTGTCTTCGTATTTTTCTTCATGATCACTCGATAGATTACAAGAGAAAAATAGAGACAACGGGAGGGAGGGAAGGAAGGAGTCATAAATAGTTTATAGTATGAATTTCCTTTTTCGATGATGATGACGATTGAATGCTATAAGCGTAACGAAACAGCCGACCATCACATTTATGCCGATTGAGATCAAACGCAATACAACATCATAACAGAAAAACTGTACCAAAAGCGACAAAGAACTGCTTTTGGCTTCATTTGTGTTAGTACTAGTTTATGTTGCTGTTATTGCGGTGCAATGTGTCGGGATAGAGCACGCCAGACCGGAAAAAATATCTAATATCACATGAACAACTCTTTCCTTTATATAATACTCTCATGTCTCTGTGTTCATATCGTTCTCACTTCATTCAGTGCATAGATCGAGATGTGCTTGAGAGATGTTAACTTGATTGTGATTAAAAGAATATTACAAGATCGGTTCCTACATTTTCTAAATGGATCCAATTCTATGTGTGTTTTTTTTTCTTCT